GGCAGAAGGAGAAGAGGAGGCAGGCATGCCATATTGTTCAGAAAAGGAGGAAACGGGGTGAGACACCACACTTTTTAAACAACCAGCTCTTCCACAGATGAATACACCAAGAACTCACTAATTACTACAGAGGGGGCACCAAGTCATTCATGAGGGACCCACTCCTTGACCCAAACATCTCTCACTAAGCCCCACCTCCAACAATGGGGGTTGAATTTCAGGGTGAGATTTGGAGGGGCCAGACATCCAAACTATCAATATCTGAGTAAAATTAGTATAAATCAAAAATTAAAAATTAATAATATACTATAATATTTGTGAAGATTTATATAATTGTTACTTCATTTTTATAACTTTTCCATTTCTTAGTTATATAGTGTAATTCTGGTTTGCAGAATAACATACATACCCTTATTATGCTTAATAAATTAATGGTAAATTTATTTGAGAAATGAAAACTCTATTTGTAATTATTAACATATTCAAGTATCTATGAACTGTAAGTAAATATTATTTTCCCTGATAATTTTATAACTGAAAGTATAAAATAATATTGTAAAATAATCATCATTTATTTTGAAAATTGATCATTTCACTATTCAGCACATGTGGCAAATGACTGCCATTGTGTATGTGTGCATGTGTATATAACAAATGCATATATTATATGCCTGGCACACATGTTGTGTATTTATATTTCTATGTATATAAATTAACATAATATGAGAAAGAGCCCTCTCTTTAGCTCTTTCTATGTAGGAGTGAGTGTGTGTGTGTGCACATAACTAGAGAGAACACAATCTAGGTAATTGTTTTCAAATATTTTGAGTTTATGAGTAACACTAAAAATTTTTTTAACATAATCTGGTTTATATCAGTAGTTAATGAACGTGGTTTTGTTACTAGAATGAAATGTATTACTGCATACAAATTAGTATTTATCTACCAATCAGTAGTTAATGGGATTGTAAATCTGATAGTTGTTGTGATTGTTTCACATCTTGTTAAACCATTAATAAGGATTCATAAAACACAGTTGAAAGTTAAGCTTTTTAGTTTATTGAGTCTACAATTCGAAAAAAAAATAAAAGATTCATCCATTAAATTTACTAAATTAGGAATATTTCAGACACAATTTAGTAGATTCTAATGTTTAGGTACAATCAAGTAATATTACTATTTAGAAAGATCACATTTGGCATGTCATGCATGCCTTTTGGTAACATACTAATTGGTATGTTTACACTTGATTACCAATTAATTGGTTTTATCCTAGAAGTCTACAAATATATTATTTCCCAGAGGGGAGAAAAGAGGAAGGATGCTAACATTATTTTAAAATGAACATTAATTTTGTTAATAGTCAGGATATTTGGGGGTATAAATGACAAAGCCCAACTCAAAGTAGAAATTAATTGCCTCACATGATTGGAATTCCAAGAGAAGACAGACTTCAGAGATGCTTGATTTTGTGGCTCATTGTTGCTATAGAAAGCAGGTCCTTTGCATTTCTCTGCTTTAATTCAGTGTTTCCCATACCTCATATTGGTTTACTTCTCAGGTCAATCAATGTAAGAGACCATTTATAGAAATGATAACCCCATCACATTGAGGCAGTTTTTCTTAGGAGCGTCCAGTATACTAACTTTGCAGTACATTGACCAGATATCACTGTAAAGTAAGACAGAATTTCTGTAATTGACTTATACCCATCATCTGAAGTGGGATGGTGGTTGAGAAGTCAACACTAACATTCAGCAAATCCATCTTTAAATGTTTTATTATATGAATAATATATGATGAATATGTAATCTTTGAGCAGTCAATCCCTTGATTTTAATATTTAAATTATGTTCAAATCAACCTGGGAAATAAAAAATGATGCCTGAACCATATTTTTTGGTCCCCTAATATAAGCAATAATGTATAAATGGGTAATTTTTTAAAGATTTTAAACCTAAGAAAGGGATTCAAGGACTGAGCCAAAAATATGAGCAATGTACACGAGAGAAAGTAGTAAATGGACTGAATGACACAGTAGGGCATTTCTAGACTTTCTTTAACTTTATATTCTACATTAATTTTTAAAATCATCAACTTACACTATCATGTCACGTTAAAAATTGACCTAAGCTTATGCAGTGACATCATAATGATTGGATATGACTATCATATGTATGGTGGCCACAATTTAGTTTTTTTTGTCTGCTTTTTCCATTCCATTGTGGTCAGAACGATCTGCCAGCCCCTAGATTTGTTTGAAGAATATATTTCATTGACTTACATTTTGGTTTAATTTAATACGTTTTCATTGAAAAAATTCTACAAGAAATAGCCCTAGAGAACTTACTTTAAAATGTTGCATAGATGTTATTGAAAACATTATCTACTACATCTTTGTAAAGCCCAAATGAAAACTTTTTTTAGAATTAATTGCTTGAAAAGCTTTGATACCTCTAGTGCCACAGTGTACTTTTCTTTTGTAGTCACTGAGCAGTATGTAACAGGTACATGGCTCTTTTTGTTTTGATTGTCAGATGCTTCACAGCCAAATTTAAGAATGAACCATGATTTTTGGAAAGAAAATTAAACCTTGTGAAGCATATTTTATGTTATTTTTGTCCCAATCTTAGCATTCTTCTCATTTGTATTCTCTATGGTTCAGTTATTTCTAAAAATATTTTGTTAGATTTGATAAAATTCTTACAAACTGAGACATAATTTAACATTAAAAGGTGAGAGGTACATAGATGTAGATAAGCAGATGTATTTTGTATTATGTAAATTATGTAGATAAATCAGTTATTCCTAGGGTGTTATGCAAAGAAGAGGAGTTACACAGATACTTGCCATTGTTGTCAGTGGCTAATTTGACCAGCACTTAGAGTGAACTAACCTACGGCTGTTTCATTTGAACTATAAATACAGCCATAAAACATACCATTTTATTGAAATTAAATTTTGGTTGCTATGATACTTGAGAGTTGATTACATTTGTGATATGCTTCATCAGGAACATAAAACCTCATAAGAGGCAAAACCAAAATCAGACTTTCTTTGCTCTCTTCATAGTGATCCATTATCTAATAAGGACAGTCATGGATAGGGTTTTGTGGGTGACAGTGGAGTGTGAAAGAACTTGTGGACTCGTTCATTTTGTAATTAACAAAAGTTAAATGAACACATATATAATATATCAAGATCTAGTATAGCTCCACTATAATTCTTGACTAAGGTTTACCATAATCTATCATAATCTAGTTCTTATCATGAATGTATTTTTCATAAAATTAAATCTATAAATCACAGCTAGAATTCTGACAAATCATGCCTCCCTTTGATAAGACAATGAAACAGAAATAATGTTTTGTTTCAATGAAATATTACAGACAGCATACAATACTGGTAATCAAACACAAAGGCAAAATACATAAAAAGTATTAAATATGCCAACTATTAATCCTTATAGAAAAGCAAGCATTTAGTGGTAGATGAAGAAATAGAAGAAAGCCTCTAAAGAATATCTAAAAGATTTTTCTTGTGAACATAGCACTGAATTCCAACTGAGCAAACCTGGCTTTGATTTGAGTGTTTGCGCTTATGAGCATTGGACCTTTGCGCAAGTAGTTGAAACTCTCTTTGTCTCACATGTTCACCTGTAACATAGTGTTAGTTTCCTTGCCTTCCTCGCACTGCTGATATAAATATATATTAAAGAGCTTTATGAACCATACATTTAGACCTTAGAGTTTTGTTCTTTTGAAGCTGATAATTAAGGAATGAAATAAAGACTAAGACTAGTAGGTCAGGTTTCACAAACAAAACGTGGCTGTTGATATTAGAACACAGACTACTAGTACTTTGTTTTGGAAAACTTTTTCTGTTTTGGAAAAATTAATTATGACTTAATACTTATGGCTGACCTCCAGAGTGATTCTTGAACATGCGTGTGCTAGTAGTTGTAAAAGAACAATAGATTGTACAATTCCCATTGGCTTGGAGAGACAGAGAGGAGATATAAATAAGTAGGTAAATATGAAAGCAACTACATAAGCATTTGTGTGTGTGTAAATTTAGTGTATATATTTTTCCAACCATCCCAGATATATGTATGTATATATGATCTTTTTCAATAAATCATGGAGAAATAGAAAGAAGATATGAAAAAGGCAAAGGAACAAAGAGGGTAGGTTGGTGAAACCTACGAGTTATTAATAAGGAAAATAAAGACCCTCCAAAGTTTTTGATCCACTGAAGGAAGGAAAAGAAAGTGCTGGGTACCACTGTCTTTGGCACTGGCCCACTAAAGACGGTAGTAAGGGATAAGGAAAAAGAAATAAAGAAAAGAGAGAAGGGAAGTGGTTTATATGCAAATTAGTAAACTCATAGTTGTATATAGAGATTGAATTATCACCACTTTATTCACTGACAAAATTATCTCCATATGTTTGGATTATGTTATATATAATCTTCACTTTAGAGACAATAAAATATATAAAACTAGCATAATATAATATGCAAAGACAAGAATACAATTTATCTAGGTATAGAAATCATACAGATAACTGAGCAAACATCATGTAAATATTTCCATTAAATAATTGCACAATTTTTAATGAAAGATAAGCTTCATAGTGTATAATAAAAATTAGTAGTCAAAGGGAATTTGGGAAAAGAAAAAAGTTACTTCTTATTTTCCAGATAGTAATCACTAATATTTATGCAACTTTATTTGTTGTATTGCATGTTACTAATATTTTGTATTTTATTTATTTATTTTATATTTTTATTATTTATTTTATATTATGTATATCACTAATAATTTTGTGTATACATTACTAATACATTTTGTGTATATATATCGTTTGTGTGTATATTACTATTATTTATGTACCACATAATATTTATGAACCCAAACACTGTCCTAAGTGTTTTAGTAACTCAATTTATTCTCTTAATCGTATGAAGTAGATTCTAATATTCTCATTCTCATTTTTCAGATAGAGAAAATGATGCTTAGAGAGCTTAAATATCTTTCCCAAGGACATGCAGATGATACATACAAAAGGTACAAGAAGTTTGAGTCTGGAGTTTTGTTTCAAACACTATGATGATACACTGTTTCTCTAAGGTAAAAAAGATCAATAAGGTGACAAGAAGTACAAGGGCTGACAGACTGAAGGATGAGTGATTTTTATAAGAGAAGTGAGCATATTGCTAATCTGTGTTATAACTTGGGAAACTTGCAAAAGTGGCTTTGAATAATTGAAAAATAGATCAAGCAGATAAACTCTGGTGAACTTGTGTAGAGTAGGGAGCATGTTTAACCATTTTGATATCTCCAAGGCCTAACATTAGGCAAAGCATACAATGGGAGCTCAGTAAATGGTTGCTGAATGAAGAGAATTTTGGAAAAGCTGAATAAAGCAGGATAAGAAAGAACCAAAAGACCTGATAAACAACTTTAAGATTTATGGTGAAGCTGTTATGCAAATGAGACTCTCTTATTAGGAAGCATTTTAAAATCAATAATAGAGAAAATCCTTTCAAGAATAATGCTGAGAATTGCAGCACTGTTAAGAATGAAAAACATCAAGTAAAGGAATTGAGAGATGATCAATATCTGCACCATGTATATTACTGAAAGATAGAGTGGATGGCAGTTGGAAGGTGTTCTGACTGGGATAAAAAGTAAACCCAAACAAAAAACCATGGAGTGTGGAGGAAAACGAGATATGTTAAATAAATAGCAATAAATAACTCAGCAGTAAATTAAAACTTATGCAATTTTTATTTATTTTAAATTTTCTCATTCAAAATTTATTACTTTTAACATAGACACTGATCTTCAGATACTATCTGAACTCAGGAGATTTAGTCAAATCCAGCAATATGCCGGACAGGTGAGTCTAATCCTGGCTTTGTAATTTGCAAGATATGTGACCTTGGACTAATCAATTTACTCAAGGGACATCTCCTAACGTCTAAATAAGGAAATTGTATTAGATGATCTGTAAGATTTCTTCTGGTTCTAAGTTTAAGACTATATCTTGGAATTAACAGATTCCCAATTCTAAAAATACTAAAAAGGTTATAATGAATATCTTAATTGAGAGAAGGTAAGACAAAGAAGAAAAATAATGTTTGAAAATGCATATAATTCTAGGTAGCAAAATAGAACAGAAGAATTTTTGTTTTCTATTACAAATGATTTATAAGCGATTAAGTAAGGCTGAGGAGATGCATATTCAATTTTATTTTACTTCTTAATCCAGAGGAGGCTGCAGGCTCCAGGCAGCTGCCACATTAGCATTTTGCAGGCACACATACAAGATTGAACCTCTTTTAAAACTCTGTTTTCTCAGTGTTAAATAGTCAGTGATCATGAAGTCATGGTGTTGCCACCAAGCAAAAGAAGTAATGTCATGTCAATTTACAACCTTTAGAAATGCATTTCTATATTAAATGGAAAGAATATGCTAATGCAATATTAAGGCTGCAACTTTAAAAATAGAAAAGTCAAGACCTAGAGAAGTTATGGTTTTCATTATCATCATTAACATGACTGCATAACATACACTGAATATATTAGTTTTTTTCCCACCTAACTTGTAATCTAAAATATTGCATGTATCTAACTTAATATAGCTTCATTAGTGCTTGCATTTCATGACTTTCATACTTTATATTTGCATCCTAAACATTATTTAAAAATTTATCTCATAGGTACATATGCCATCAATTAATAATATACTAATAATAAACAGGCAACATAATATACTAGCTCAGACATAACATTTACCTAGAGAGTATTGTCGTAATTTGTATGTACACAAAAATAAGTTTTCTCCAGTAAAAAGATTTTAGTTGCCTAATTTTGCTTTGCAAATTGCTTATATTCTTAATCTTTTCTGTCTTTGACACTCTTTTATCTCATCATTCAGTTCCTCATCTTTATACTCTGATTACTCACCCAATTCCCCATTGTCACATGGCAGCTTTAGCTTAACTACCTTTCCTCATCAAAACTTACCTGCTTTATGTCCTACTTTCTTAGAGTTTGTTAGATGATGAATTTCCAGGTCTGTTGAAATAGAAACAGAACAGCAAAGTCATCTGTGGTGCTTAGAAAGAATTAAAATATCCAGATATCATGGAAGTTTATTGAATCAGAACTTTTTGAGATGATTTCTAGAATTATGCATTTTTAAAAAGCTCTTCATGTTATTCCAATAGGTACCTCTTGTTAAGAACCCTTGTATTTTGATGTTTCCAAGATAATTTTATTATTATTATTTCTATTGTTATTATTAAAGTATTAATGACCAATCATTACACTATATTGACCCTGTTCAATTACAATAGCATTTGTAGAGTACTTTGAGGATTTTAATCCCAGAGAATGAATACTATGAGAATTTCATTCTGTACTAACAGAAAGTTATTCAGAGCACAAGGGCTAGATTGATGTTCATGTGGCCAAATACTAATGAAATTCCTCAAAGTGAGCAATTTCATTTGAAAGCCAGAACCATAACCATTATATAAATCCATGTCAGCAAATACGAAAAGACATTTAGACACAGATCTATATATATTTTTCATATGCAGAAGGAAGACGTGGTAGAAAGCAGTATGTCAGAAACTGAATAAAAGTTCTCATTTTGTCACGGCTAAGTTAGAGTGGTTGTCATTTAAAGTTACTACAACTTAGTTTCCTTATATACAAAAATAAGATCATTATACTAATGTCTCAGTAATTGCTAAGAAGATGATACAATTTTCACTGTATGAAAATTGATAAACTTAATACAATTTATTTATAAAAATATTAATATACATTTAAGCATAAACAAGTTTCAGATCTAAGATTTTTCTTTGTGTGTAATAAGTTAATTTAACTGAGTGAATATTTTCCTCTTGATCCAGAAAAATGTATTACACTTTCTGATAAGAAAATTTTGCCTGAAAATTTGTATTCATATAGCTGTGGAATAATAGAATAAACACTGAACTAGAATCAGAAAATTTTGATTGACATATTAACTTCTCTGAAGCTCAGGTTTTGTATATTTAAAAATTATAATATTTTCCCACCTCATAAATTAATTTTGGGTTTTAAAATGGGTTAATTTGTGAATTAATTCAGAAAAGAAGTATCAATTAAATAATCACACCAATGGGTCTATAGTTACAAACAGGTAAATGTTTTGAAAAAAACAAATTAACTACTAGAAGAACATTTAACAGAGACATTTGACCTAATTGGGGGTTTAGAAAGTAAAACTTGAGCCAAGATCTGAAAAATTACACACCAATATGAATTTACTTTTGGTATGAACAATGGAGATTTTTGAAACAATAACTCAAATGAGATTTACATGTATACCATTTCTGTCTCAAATAAGGCTACTCTGGAAGTAGCTAGTCCTTGGCTCATTTGGTAGTGGTAAGGTATTTTAGGACTTCTAAAAGTCAGAGGTTGAAGCTATCCCCTACCTGTTTTCACCTGTCAACCAAGCCATCACAAGTACATCAAGTCAGTAATGGAAAAAGAGAGAAAGACATATTCCCTTGCTTTAAGGAGACTTCTCTACAAGTTCCAAAATATTTTCTATTGGATATTATTGGTCAGATTTTATTGCTGCAAGGAAGGCTGATAAATGTCAAATTCATACTGAGAAACGTGGTGATTATAAAGCTGGGTTCTGCTTGTTCATTAGAAAAGTTTGGGACTAATACCTAGAGGTCACTAGCATTATCTGCCATATTTTTCAAAGTGATGATAGCACAGTTTTATGAACAAAGGGATCATCATGTGCAAAGGGTAAGAAGAAGGATTGAGATCAGGTTGGAGAGGACAATAAAGACATATCATATGGAAATGTTTTAGACCCTAATAAGAAAAAATGGCAATCAGAAGGAACATAGTCAAATTCTAATTTGAAAAGATTCTATTTTTGCTATTTTAAGAAAACATTTTATGAAGCCGTCAATATGAATGCCAATTATTAGGGTATCATGACTACCCAGCAAGAGACAATGGTAGCTCAAACAAGGATGGTGGCAATAGAATTTTTTGATAGATTTAAGAGCTATTTAGGAGGTTAAATCTATAGGATTTACTATGTTGAGTGTAAGAAAACAAGAAGTGTCAAAAATGACTCCTAAGGTACTGTTTGCTCTGTCTTTGTCTCTCTCTAGGTATTTCTCTAATTAGATTTAGTTATATCACTAGTGAGGTAAGATCATGTAATTTTTAACTTAAGAAATATGTATGGGATCCTTGATTTCTAAACTGGAATAATCCACAACTTCCTTGCCCTTCAGATTGATTCATTAGTTGATTAGACTACCTGGACTTCAAACTTGCTCTACATTTTGAACTCTCTTCATCAAACCCACTAGATTACACAGAGGACAGTGCAAAATCCATCTTTGCTCACATCAGCAGCGTTATAGAAGTTCAAAATCAGGCCCTAATAATTAATTGAAAGGCCATTTGATAGTACAAGTACCATGTAATTACCAAGTCACTATATAAAGGTGAGGTATTATTGTAGAAATAATTGATTATTTAAATATTCCAGTTATTAAATTCATAATTTAATTATATAATGTATAAAATATATATTTAATTAATTTATTATCAGTCATTATAGAATTTTCTCCCTGTTATATTTGATATGTTTTATCATTGTATTATTTCTAGAGCTATGTAAAATTAAAATTTCTATCTTTAATGCATATATAGCTCTAGTATATTTAAAATGTTAGAGTTTAATATGTTATGAACATACCTGGTCTTATAACAAACCGTCATCAAATAACTGTCTAGCTATTTATCAATGCCATATACTTTGCTGGGAGAAAGGAGAATATAACTCTATGCAGAGAGAAGAGGAGAACGAAGGCACAGGAAAAGGTCAGATGTTCGTTCACAACTTCAAGAAAAATCCAGACTAGTTCTAGCAGCCATTAGAATTTACCAGAGGGAAAGGAGGCAGGAGATTGTTTGGGAAGTGTTAAAGAGGTAGTGATGTTTGATTAAGAGCAGAAGCCTATTCAGGGAAATTCACATGAGAAGAGGTAGGAAATGATGTGAGACAAGACCCTAGGTAAAAGGTCCAGGTGGTATAGCAGGAGCTCATATCTAATTCATTAGGAAAACTAAATAAAAAACGTCTTTCTCCTTCCTGCCAGAACTGCCAGAGTTCCCAATGACCTCTCCATGTAATTGGACTTGAGAAGCTACTGTCAGATAAACTGCAAATATTCTAATGGGGTTAGATGCAATTTTGGCATAGATTATTTAAGGACTCTTTCTCAACAATTTTAAAGGGTAAATAAAGAGTAGAATAGGAGAACTGCAGCTACTAGATGATTACAAGTTAGGACTTTCAATGGATGAATGCGGTGGGTATATTACGTACAAATTGAATAGCAAATATTTGAAGACTTAAAAGTTTTAGCTGGCTTGGTTTCAGTGATACTTTGCCACTACTCCATGCACTATTATCTCAAGTCCATCATTCTGACAATTATTTCCTCTCTTCACAATGTTCACTTCGCTAGTGGATGAAGCAAGGTTCTCAGTGTGCTTGCAAATTTGCAAACTTCTCAAGGTTTTACATTTGCTAAACCCAATGGTCAGTACTTAGTCCTCATGTTTTTCATCTAAGAACAACTTAAGAACAATTTTCAGTCCTTATTTTTTATTGTTTTCAGATAAATCACTGTTATGCTCTTTTTCTACAGCATGTGCCATTTTTTATCTTTCTCTGATAGTGGCTCTTTCCCAGACCTCTTAGCATTGGATTCCTTCAATGATCGGTCATTAGATTACTTTCTTCTCTATGCTTTCTCATTTCCTTGTCTTTGAGTACAATCATGGATAACTCCT